ATTTACCTTTGAGCACAGCTGCCATCCTCCCTGTGGGCTTAGGAGTCAGACGCTGTGTGGGAGGATGCTGTTGTCACCAGTTGGCCTGAGTCTTATTTGTGTGCAGGCAGGTCGCATGTTCTTTCTTTAGAAATGTTGATACCACTTTGTCAGTCTGTCTCTGGCTAAGGCCATTCAGACTTTTAAGGGTAATTAGTGGGGCTGATGGAGGATTTGAGGTGGGGCAGCCTGCTTCCTGAGTCCTTGCTCCCTGCCTCTGTATCCTACTGCTTTGTCAGGGGAACCTCACGAAAGTTCTTGTGCTGCAGAAGCTTAGACTGTTAGAAAAAGGTCAATGTGTTTCCAGGATCAAATTCCCTAAATCAGTCCTCATCTTTTTTGTCTCTTTTTAAAAAAGGTTTTAGAGTGTGAGTGAGGGGCCTCCCTGGTGGCACAAGTGGTTAAGACACAGCACTCTGAAGCTTCTGCAGCCACTGCAGCCTGAGTTTGATCCCTAGCCAGGGAGCTGACCCACATGGTGCAGCAGACCTCTCCTGTCTTGCCCGCTGCTCTTCTCAGCAGTGTATTTCAGTAGATCTGCCTGTTCTGCTCCCCACTCTGTCTCTGGTGAATCCTCTCACCCCCTGCATCTCTGGCCTGCACCCAAGCTCTTGTACACATAATAGATAAAAAATACAAATAATAAAAAATAGTAAGTGTGAGCAAGAGATAAGGAAAATGATTACTATTATTACAGACTATAGTTTTGGTTTTGAAAAATTAATGATAAGGCCTCCCTGGTGGCACAAAGGGTTAAGCACTGCACTATGAAGCTACCTGCAGCCTCTGTAGCATGAGTTTGATTCCTGGCCGGCCAGGGAGAAACCCACATAGTGAGGCAGACCTCTCCTGTCTTGCCCATTACTCCCCTCAGCAGTGTATTTCGGTCAATTTGCCTGTTCTGTTCCTCACTCTGTCTCTGGTGGATCCTTTCACACACACACACACACACACACACACACACCCTGCATTTCTGGCCTGTGCCCCAGCTCTTGTATGCATAAACAAATAAATCTTAAAAAAATAGTAATGATAATATCTGCTCACCTTAGGAATGTGTGAAGATACCCTCTAGCAGAACGAACAGAATGTTAACCTTTAAGCCAGTAAAGGGATGAATCTGCTGAGGGTCTTGGTTGCAAATAGCAGCAAAAGCCTGGCAGAAAAAACCTCGGGGAGCTCAGAATATCCACAGGAAGGTTGGAAAAACTGACAGAAAAAAAAAACTAGGCAGAAACCAAGAAAATTGGGGCAGCCACGAACCCCAAGAGTTGCCTCAATGGATGCAGCTGTCGGCACTGCTGCCCGCCCTGCCCACCCCTGCGCCTGGGCCTTGGGCTCCCGCGTCTGGCTAGGTGTTCTCCTTGGATCGTTCTCTGGCTGAGTGCAAGTCAGGGCCAGACAGCGGACTCCTCGGTGGCGTGTCCCGAGCCTTTCAGCTTCTGTAGTGGGGAACTGGGCTTGATCTGCCACCAGGAGTCACCCATGAGGGGCCCGCCACAGTGGGAAGCAGTGCGCATGCAGGAAGCTCCTCACTGCGGGGGTAACTTGGGACGAGGAAAACCTGGTGGACGCATTAGAAGGCAAGAATGGAGGATACCAGGATGTTCACCTGGGCCTGGGAAATGCTGGTGCTGAGGGTTGTGTGTGACGGACCGTGGGATCTAGGCCCCAAAAGGAGATGAAGACTCAAAGACACTGATGGACAGGGGCCTCCCTGGTGGCGCAATGGGTTAAGTCTCAGCACTGTGACGCTATCCATAGCCACTGCGACAAGAGTTAGATCCCTGGCCAGGGAGCTACCCACATGGCACAGCAGACCTCTCCTGACTCACCCACTGCTCCCCTCAGCAGTGTGTTTCAGTCAGTCTGCCTGTTCTGCTCCCTACTCTGTCTCTGGTGAGTCCTCTCACCCCCGCACCTCTGGCCTGTACCCCAGCTCTTGTATGCATAAAAAAAAGAATCTGGACAGCTAGAAGAGGATGAAGGCGGCAGCAGGAAGGAGGCAGCTATGGTCAAGAGTTCACATCCAGTCAGGGGAAAAATAGATGATAGACAGACAGATAGACCTATAGAAATACATAGGACATAAAAAAGAAATGTCATCATTGAAAAAATAAATACAAGGGTTCACACTTGCAGAAATGGGGAAACTCTTGGAGGTGCTGGGAGTGAAGAGTTAACCCAAGGACCAAGAGGCCAGGGTGCAGGAGGGGCCCCCAGAGTTGTGGGAAAGATCAGAGTGGACCCCGGGACCCCCAGAGGGAGTCCACATTTCCCAGGATGATGGCATGAGTGGAGCAGACGGGAAGTAGGGAGATGTGGGTGACCGCAGTCGGGTGGAGAGGTCATTTGAGCTTTGGATGAACCAGACACTCAAGTAGCTTGGGGCACTCCAGGCCAGGGAGCAGCCCAGGGACTCAGGAGAAGACTGTGTGTCCATTTGCCATGGTAACCAGTGCCTGTGACAATGGGACCCGCCTGCCGACTTGCTGTGAGACACTTGCCAGAATCCAGGGCGCTTACACTCAGGAGCACGGTCTGAGAGATGCCTCGTAGGTGGTTCCATGGTCGTGCGGGCGTCAGCGTGTGAATGCGTGCCGGGCCGAGGCCGGGGGTAGTCTGCGTCCCCAAACACAGTCCTTCCTTGTCCGAAACGATAAGCAAAGTTCCCTGAGAGTGTAACTCACTTAAGAGTGTCCCACGGAACTACGGGCCCAGCCTGACGTGTGGGGCCTGGCCACTCCCTCCACGTTACCCCAAAGTCCCTGGGAGCTGGCCCCTCTGACAGCCTCTTCTCACGGCTCCTTTCTCCAAAGAATTCCCTTCCGCCCTACAGACAGGGAGCAAAACTAGGGATGTTTTTTCTTTGTTTTTCCCCTTAGACTTAACCATTTCTATTTTTTAAAGGTGGTAAAATACACACAACACAAATGTACCGTCCTCGCCATTTATTGTAGGGTCATCGCTCTGCGAGTGTATTCACAGGCCGTGTAACCAACTCCAGCCCTCTTCCATCCTGCAAACCTGAAGCTGTACCATAGAAACAGCTCTCCCTTCCCTCCCCCAGGCCCTGGCAAGGGAGGTTTTTAATATTTTTTTTTTTTAGATTCATTTATTTATTTATTTATTTATACAAGCACTGGGTACAGGGAGGGTGAGAGGATTCACCAGAGCTAGAGCGGGGAACAGAACAGGCAGACTGATGAAAAACACTGCTGAGGGGAGCGGTGGGAGCGGCGGGAGCGGCAGGCAAGGTCTTCACACCATGTGGGACCCTCGCCTGGCGGCCGGGGATCGAACGGGCGCTGCAAAGGCTGCGGGCAGCTTCGCAACCCAGCGCTCAACCGCTGCACCACTGAGGAGGCCCTAGGTTTTTAATTTTTAAAAATCCTTTTCATTTTTTTTTTATTTGTACTTTCCAAATTTTCGACAATGAGCATTTGTTTTTGTAATTGAATTTCAAAGCTCCAGGCCACTACCTGCAACCTGCACGGGCTCCCCGACTTGGCAGACAGGGAGCCTTGGGCCTGGGCTACAGCTGCAGGTGTGCAGAACTCAGGTGCCAGCTCACCAGGGCCCCAAACTCTCTGCCAGGGAAGCCAGGCTTCCTCCTGTGGTGTCCTGGAGGAGGAGGACCAGGTCCAGGGATGTGGCAGGGCAAGTCCAAGCCTCTGAGTCCTGCCCGAGCCCACAGGGGTTCAGAATGTGGCTCCACTTCAGGATTCTCTTGTCCTTGTCCCACCTCATTGAGCCCCAAGCAGAACTGTCCCTCCAAGGTCACTCCTTTGCCCTTGGTTGGCCGGTGTCTCTTGCCCCCAGAGCAGGCCAGTCTGGGGGCAAGGAAGGAGGCAGGCAGGCGGGGCCTCTGCTCACATGTGGGCCCACACAGGTGCCCAACCCCACCTGTACTGGGACAAGCACAGAAGCTCCTTGAGTGGCTCTGGGGCTCGGGATGGGGACACAGGAGGTCAGGGACGGGGCAGGCGTTGGGGAGTGGTGAGGATGTACAGTCATTTCTGCATTGGTAGTCTGAGAGTATTAGTGGGTTTTGTTACGAGCCACACCGTTGCACACGCACAGAAAACCGTGACCAAGGTGCCAAGTGTGACACTGCAGAATGTCAGGGCCCCTTTCAGTTTGCAAACGGGGCTGGAAAGCGGCTGGTTTGCTGCCAGAGGGCCAGATGGTGGCAGCAGGGCTGGGACAGGAACCTGGTCCCTGGATGCCTGGCACATGCCCCCCGCCCCCAGCCAGCAGCTCCTCCAGGTGGAGATGCCGGAACAGAATGTGCATCACAGGGGCCAAGGAGGGGTCCCGGGTGCAGCTGAGAGCAAGGACTAGAACGCACACAGCTCGCGAAGGAATGACTGGGCTCCCTGGTGGCCTAGAGGTTAAGTCTCAGCATTGTCACCACAACAGTCTATCCTGGCGGCCTGCATTCCCTCCCTGGCCAGGGAGCTGATCCACAGGGGCAGCAGACCGCTCCTGTCTTGCCTGCCGCTCCCCTTAGCAATGCATTTTAGTAAATCCACCTGCTCTGCTCCCCACTTTGTCTCTGCTAAATGCTCTCACCCCCACACCCCTGGCCTGCACCCCAGTTCTTCTACACAAAAATAAAATATTTTTAAAAAAGAAGAAATGGGAAGGGAAGGCAGGGCCCCTTGGAAATATTTCAGAAGCTAGCGGTGGCATGGGGGGGGTTGTCCCCAGACGGAGGGTTGCTGTATCAGTGACCAACAGCCATGCTTTGCAGGGGAAAGTCTTTAACTGGGGTTTGGGGGTGCGGAGGCCAGGCAGCAGCTTTCTGTCCCTCCGGTGTGTGTGGGGGGTTAGTGAAATGCTGGTATGTCTCTAGGCTGAAGTGGGACAGGCACAAAGGGGCATCATGAAGCATCGCTCTTCTCTGGCAGGTGTGGCCCCAAACCGTGCCCTCCAGGTGAAGCCACCTTGAGGCCCTCTCAGGAGGGGTCCATCTCTTGCTGCCCCGCCGCGCCCCCATTCTCAGCCAGGGGGTGGATCCTGTTGCTTGGGGAGCCCAAGTCACACAGGGTGCTGCCCGTGGCCACCCGGCTGAGGCTGTGGGAGCTGCGGTGGGGCCTGTGGCGGCGGCACCGGCTTCCCAAGCACAGGGCTTCCTGGAAGGTCTCCCGGAAGCGGCTGGACATGAGGCTGTAGAGCACGGGGTTGGCAGCCGAGCTGAGGTAGAAGAAGACTCCGGAGACGACGTGCACGTAATGGTAGGCGAGGGCCAGCTGCTGGTCGTCGGTCTGGTGGGGCAAGAAGCTCCACATGAGGCGATCGATGTGGAACGGGGCCCAGCAGATCCCAAACACCACGACCAGCACGACTGCGGGCAGAGAAGGGGGTCAGTACCCGCACAGCCCACCCCGCTGCCTCCACCCGGCTTCCGTCTGTCCTCTCCTACTCCACGGGACACCCACTCCCAGTGGCCATCTGGAAGTTCTGGAAGTTTGCCTGCCCTGCCCACGTCCCTTTAAGATGCTCTGCTCTCACCGTTGCCATTGGTGCCCAGCCCGGGTCACGGTCAGCTGGGCCAGGCTGATCTCTGTGTGGACTCAGCTGTGACTGCTGAGCCCCAGCAGGGCACAGATACAGGTCCCCCCAGGGGCTATGCCCACTGATACATAAGCAGAGAGAAACACAACAGAGCCCATGCTCCCAGAGTAAAACGGGGTTTAGGGGGCCAGAGAGCAAGACAAAGACCCCCCGAAGCTAAGCCTGCCTTGGCCCCCGATGACTCCTCAGGCCCAGCCCCTCCAAGGCCCCTCTGAATATCCCGCCAGCGTTAACTCCCTTTTACTGAGGTCCCTCTCTACCCCAGAAAATGGCAAGAGGGACTGGCCAGGCCCTCTCCAGAGCTTCCCCAGCCCTGGTCTACCGAGCCTGGCCTTCCTGGGGTCTCAGCCACCAGCCTGCTGTGACTTTTGTGTCCTGCGCCTCAAAAGCCACCTTCTCCAGTGGTGTCATCCCATCACATCCCAGGGGCTCTCCACACTTGTCGCCTGGGTTTCATTCAGGAGTTGCTTGGGACATCCCCAGCACCCAGCAGGTGCACAGCAGGCCCTCAGAAAAGGTAGAGGTGGGGGAGGGAAGACAGCCCAAGCCCCAGGCCAGCAGGCAAGGTGGCCTTAAGGAAACACCCCACCTTCCCAGGGGGAAAGCTGACCGAGCTGAGCAGACTTGGGGCGGGGCGAGGGGCTGAGGAACAGACTTCACGGCCCCAAGCTCTGGGGTCCAGTCCTGAACAAGTGACCCCAGGCCCTGAAACACTGTTCTAGGGGGGTGAGAAGAGTGGGATGAGGGACCCGCAGTTAGTTCTTCTCCAGGGCTTTGCCCAAGATCTGTCCTGCCCTGGCTCACCCCACCTTCCTGACTGGGCGTCAGCGGGGGCCAGGCAGAGGAGGGAAGGGCATCAGTGATTTGCTGAGCATCAGTTTGTCTTGCTTCCCCAGGATCTGAATCAGGTCTAGGACACAGTAAGATCCAGAATCTTGACCCAGCTGGGCATGCCCTGGCCTGCCGCAATACGCACTCCAGCCCCGGTCCTCTCTGCTCTGCACACTGACTTGACCCTCGCAGGCACGCCTCCTGATGAGCCTCTTTCAGTCAGCAGCCATCCTGTGGCCCTCTCGGGACCACAGACAGCACTGAGGAATTCATTATTTTGACTCTCCAGCATCCTGCTCCCCTTCTTCTGGGAACTTTGCTGCTCCCCCCAGTATTCAGGATCCCACCACGTGGTTCCATGGGGACTGCACACCTCGGCCTCCTGCCACTCTGCCGGGAGTGGGCCATAACCTAAGCCCACCAATCAGAATCCTCCTCTGGGGCTTTTCAACAGTCACTGAGGGAGGAGGGCAGCCAAGCAGGAGCGGGGAGCGCTGTGCCCCTGCCCGTGCCTCAGGCTGCTGCAGGGACAGACTGGGCTGAGACAGGCTTAAGAGCAAGGTGTGAGATCTGGAGGGTCCAGGTTCCTGTTCTGTCATCCTGGAGCCCAGCCACATGCCCTGCACTATCTGTGGCTCTGCCCCATGAGCAGGGCTGGCTTCGTGGGCCTGCCACGTCTGTGTTGACGCAGGGTCTACGTGTAGAAGGGCCTTGGGCTTGGTTTACTACTCTGCTGTTGCTGTCTTGACATTCTTAATGTTTTGTTGAGGGCCTGGTGGTCTACCGTGTGGGCTATGGGTGATTTGGTGGTAGATGTGGTGTTGCAACATCTGAAGAGATGTGCGCCTACACCATCAAGCTATTTACAACATTGTGAACCACTGGTACCTCAATGAAATAATACAGTGAAAAAGTTTTTGAACAAAGGATGCCAAATTTTCACTTTGCATTGGTCCCTATAAATTACAGATCCAATTCTCCCCTGACCCATGAATATTAATCTTTGGTGTGAGTTTCTCCCGAGGTAACCTAAAAGGGTATGCAAGCATGCACACACAGGCTCGTACACACACACACAAACACACACACAGTGACTCCAAGCCTCACATGCAGCCTCCATCAGAAACCCAGGTGCTTAGACCCTTCCCGCACGTCCCGAAAGCCCCCGCCTCACCCCCAGTGCCTGGCTCAGCCCCTCTCCCCGGCAGCAGCACTTACACAGCATCTTGGTCACTTGCGTGTGGCCCTGATTCTGCAGCTGCTGGAGCTTGCGGGTGTCGCTGGCCCGGGCCCGGGCCCTGGGCTCCTGCCTGAGCAGTAGCTCCCTCTCCCGCCGCAGCTGCAGCCCGATGAGCAGGTAGAGCACACTGATGGTGGCCATGGGCAGGCAGAAGAAGAGCAGTGCCGTGATCTGCACCACCAGCTTGTAGAGGACTAGTGGGCGCACCACAGTGCATATGGCCGAGTCGGGCACCACGCCCCAGCAGGGCACCTCCAGTTGCTTGATGCCATGCAGGCTGGTGTTGGGCAGCGAGCACAGCACAGCGAGGCCCCAAATGGCCCCAAGCACGCGGCGCACGTGGGCCCGTGTCACCAGGGACCGGGCCTGCAGTGGGTGCACCACGGCCACATAGCGCTCCACGCTGAGGGCTGTGACATTGAGCACCGAGGCCAGGCAGACTGTCTCGAAGAGCAGCGTGCGGAAGTAGCAGCCACTGGCGCCCAGCAGGAAGGGGTAGTTGCGCCACATCTCGTACAGTTCCAGGGGCATGCCCACGAGCAGTACCAGCAGGTCCGACACGGCCAGGCTGAAGAGGTAGTAGTTGGTGGGCGTGCGCATGGTCTTGTAGCGAAGGATGACCATGCAGGTCAGCCCGTTGCCCACCGCACCCACCACGAAGATCAGCAGGTACGTGGCACACATGGGCACAAACAGGTCTGTCTGCTGGGGCCCCAGGTGATAGAGTCTCAGCTTCTCGTCTGTCAGGTTCAACTCCTCCCTACTGACATTGCAGGACACCAGGATCCTTGCACCCTCCGGGGGCAGATCTCCGGGGAGGTCAGAGCAATTGAGGCAGAGAGGAGCCTGTGGAACAGAAGAGAGAGACACCTGGAAAAATCACCTGCGGAGGCCTGGCTCTGTCATGATGCACTAACCAAGCTGCCATCGACACCTCAGGGACCGTCACTCTATGTGCCGTGAGAAGGAAAACCCCGCCACCATTGTAACGATGATTACGGTTTCAAAGATGGAAAGATTACATCTTAAGAATGATAAAATGGGGCCTCCCTGGTGGCGCAAGGGGTTAAGACACAACCTATGAAGCTGTCCGCAGCCCCTGCAGCACGAGCTCGATCCCCGGCCAGGGAGCTACCCACATGACGCGGCAGACCTCTCCTGGCTCGCTGCTCCCCTCAGCATCTGCCTGTTTTGCTCCCTGCTCTGTCTCTGGTGAATCCTCTCACCCCCACGCCTCTGGCCTGTACCCCAATTCTTGTATGCATAAATAAATAAATCTTTTTTTAAAAAAAGAATGATAAAATGTCAGCTTCTAATGTCAGAATCTATAGAAACCCGTGAGTAAATGACAGTTCCCTCCGCAAGGGCTTTGCCATCAGCCGTCCCCGCTGGGGTCTCGCCCTGCACGGCCCGTGACCTGGGAGGGACAGCTGGGACATGGACCTAAGGTCAAGTATCACAGGGTCTCTGAGACAGCTGCCTGGATGCAGGCGCAGCCCCTCCATCTCCACCTTGTGACCATTCGCGTTGTCACCGCTGTGGCTGTTACCTTATTGGGGATCAGGGCGTTTCATCCACAAAAGGGATTAACACCGCCTGGCTGACACCCAGAAGGGCCTCGGGAGCATCAAACGAAGTGGGGGGGCGGGTGTAGGGTTAAAACCTGTACTGCTGACACGAAAGCTGGTTGGTCTGTTTGCTGTTAGTTGAGCTTCTGGAAGTCGGGATACTGACACTGAGTGTGGGGGACCCCGCGGTCAGGCTCCCCCTCCCTCACCCACTTTAGATTTAGTGGATAAAGAGTCAGTCCAAACAGACTGGCCTGGGGTTACATGCTGGCTCTGCCACACTCTGTGCCGGTCCCTCCATGTGCCTCAGTCTCCCCATCTGTAAAAGGGGGGTGTCCATAAGATTAAATGAAAGTCTACATGTGAAGATGTCAGGGGTGTGTACAGTCCCCTCAAATTGCTCAATTTCAATCTATAGGACCAAGATCCTTACTTCCCAGGTGGAGAAGCAGAAACAGTCCAGGGGAGACAGGCAGGGCTGAGAGGGGATTCCACTGGCAGTGGCCTGGGCCCCAAAGGCGGGAGCTGCCCCCTGCGGCAGCCCTGCAGGCTCCCTGGCCACCCCCCAAGCCCACCGCCCCACGAGCCCGCTGGGACCCCACCCCGCCCCGCCCACCACCTCCCCCCTGTTTCTTCAGTTCTCCATTCCGTCTCCTCTTCTCAAGGCGGGTTGGGGGACCACTCACCTGCGCACCCCCGCTCAGCTTTTGTTTCCAGGTCCTTCCCTCTCCCAGACCCCAATCCCCCCCCCCCCCGCCCCGCGTCCCTGGCTCTCCCACACCTCACTCCCGAGTCTGGGGAATATTGGGGTCACGGGGCATTTTCATTTACTCAAGCGTTCGTGCGGCCCCCCAACCCTGCCGGTGCCGGGAGGGGAGCGGAGGAGCCGGGAACCGTTCCAGGGGGTCTCCCTAGGCTTGGGGAGCGGTCGCCGCCCGGGACCCCAAAGCCCGGCAAGGTTCTAAAGGCAATAACGCGGGCGCGAACCCCCAGCGTGGAGAGACGCCCCAACCCGGTCCCGCAGCCGGGACGCCCCGGGGAAACCCTGCCCCGCCGCCCGCGCCGCCACCTACCATCAGCCTCGACCACGGGCAGCCGCGGGCGCACTGGGGACCGACCCGCCGCCCGCCCCGACGCCCCGACGCCCCGACGCCCCGACGCCCCGCCTGCCGCCCGCGCCCGCGGGGGCCGCCCCCGCAGCCCGCCCGCCCGCCCGACGCGCGTCCCCCTCCCGCCGCGTCCCGGGCGAGCGGAGTGTTTCCCGGAGCTCCAGCGCCGCCCCCCGCCCCGCGTCCCCCAACCCCCCCCCCTCCGCCCCCCAGCCTCGCCACGGCCGGGCACAGGTGGCCACGCGGAGCGCAGAGCGGAGCCCCAGCGCGGGGCGCTCAGGTTGTCCCTGCTTCCAGCGCGCCGCCCTCCTGCCCCTCCAGCCCCCCACCCCTCCCCCGCCCCCCTCCGCCCCCCGTCCCCCTCCACCCCCAGCCCCTCAAAGTCCGCGAGCCCAGAGGGTCCCTGGTCCCCTCCCAGGCGCCCCAGGGACTCCTCCCTCTCCCTCCACCGTCCCTGTCCCCTGTCCGGGCTCTGTGGCGCCGCCGTCCCCTCCGGTCCCCTCCCGGCGCTGCCGTCTCCCCGACCCCGTCAGCTCACTCTGCCGGCGGGAAACCGCCTGTCTGCAAGAGAAGCACCAAGGTCCAGCCCGGGGCTGACCTTCCCCCCAGCTTGGCCTCCTGGTCTCCGGGTGGCCCCTTCAAGTCTATTCCCTCACCCCCAAATACCCAACCCTTACCTCCGCCCACCTGCCCAGGAGGGAGCCACAGGGAGGGACTAGGGAGGGTGCCGGGACCCTCCCCCCTCTGCCCCCAGCTCCTGGGGTGGAGGTTATTCACCTGCAGCTTGCCTGAGAGTCTCCCCTCTCTATGCCGGCCCCTGGACCTCTTTCAGGGTGTGATCTTTACACTGGGTACGGCCCAGAACCTTCAGCCTCTCAGGGAGCCCCAGACCCCAGATTCACACTTGAGAAGCACTGGAAGGGCTTAAGCACTCACAACCCCAGGACCCAGAAAGGCTGCTGGGGAGCTGCAGGTCTCCAGAAAGAGACTCTGCCTCCCTGGTCTCGCTCCCGTCTTGCAGACTGTGCTCACCATGGTCACCACCTTTGTGCGGTGCTGGCAGCCAGCACTCAAGAACACGGGGTGGGACAGCACCCTTTAGTGTCCGCTGGAGGGGAGACCTTCATGGCCCCGATTTCCCTGCTCCCCCCCCCTCCACGTGAGTGAGTCAGCATTTGGTCTGGGACTGGAAGCTGGACCCTCTTCTTCCCGGGAACTCCAAGAATAAACAGCCTCAAGCACAGAGGGGGTTGCAGGAAGTGCCAGGGCAATGTCCCCCAAGCCCTTGGTGGGATGGCCTGGAGGGCTCATTACTCAGCCCCACGTGAGTGAGCGCAAGGCGGGGGCTTGAGGACTGAAGTTGCTGTTGATCAGAAGAGCGGCAGGCAGCCTGGCTGGGGAGCACCTTGCGCTGGGGTCGCAGCTTCCAGCCTGTGACTAACGCGTCCATCTCTACCCCCCTCACTGGGACACACACACACCTCTCTGACCATACTCTGCACGGCCTGAAGGCCACAGTGCCCTCTGGAGTTGCTCGGAGCCTGGAAAGGATGTGGAGGATCCATTTCCGCCTCACAAGGCAGGGCAGCTCCTGCCACTCAGAAATCCCAAAAGTTGGCTGCATCGCTCCGGCATTAAGAGCAATCAAAGACCATGTCAAGCCGCAGGTGTGGCCCCACCCAAAGGAGCAGACTGGTGGCCACGGTGGCGCTTGCCATCCTTGCACCAGGCGACCTGGGTGCCCTGCGTCTGGGCCTGCGCTCAGGGCCACCACAGCCAGTTCCATCCCCACAGATGTCATCCTGCTGCCTCCCTGCTCCATCCTGAGACAACCTGGGCAGGCCCATGGCCCCCGGGGACACCCCAGGGCTGAGGCTGGGAGTCAGCGCACCCGGTTTGGCTAGTGGGCATCTAACCAGACCAGGGCCCAGCTCTGCACAATGGCAGACATGCTGGGAGAGCATTACCGGGCCTGCGGGAGCGGCTGGGACACCTCCCGGGTCCTGGAGCTTGTGTGTGGCTCTTAGGGCGGGGCTAGGTGAACAGTTCCATAACCTCACCCTGGTTACTCCTGAGAGCCTGCGAGGGCAGATGCACCAAGCCTGGTCTTCGCCAGACCCCGGCAGCAGCCCCTGGAACATCCACAGTTCACCTAGAACCCCTCACCACCTTCCCTGCAGAGGCAAGACAAAGAGGCACATCTCAATGGGAAGAAGAAAAACCCTCAGTGTGCAGAGCCTGGCCATAGTGTGGGCAGCCCTGGGTCCTGCAGCTGGGCCTCAGGGACCAGTGACTGAAGAGGCCTCCGGGGACCGTCGCCTCTGCCTCTGCCTCTGCCTCTCCTGCTGCAGACAGGGCTTTTCGGAGTTAACTCTCCAACCCCTGGGTGCCTGAGGGCCATGTGGCCTTGTTCTGAGCCATCCCAGTCTCTCAGGCCGGGCCTGGGACCTGGAGAGTCAGCTCCTCCTCTTAGGGACTCACCAATACCCCGACCTCCACTGCTGAAGGGAGGACAAGCTCAGGTCACACAGGGAGGCGAGCAAAAGCTTGGGGGTATCTAGTCCCGAGTTGGGATGTCCCTTGTGCCATCGGCAGTGGGCGCGGTGTTACTGAAACCCGCAGTGTCCCGGGCACCTGCCCATCCACACAATCTTCGAGCTCTCAAGCCAGGCTTGGATGCCTTACAGGGGTTCCTCCGGGCATCTTCCCTTTTGTGAACTCCAAACCCAAGTGCCTGACCTCCTGCTGATGACCCGTGTCTGAGGGCTCAGGCGCTCACTAGTCACGCCAACATCTGTGTCTACTTTAGTCCAAAGCAATGGGGGACTCTGGGGTAAGGATCTTGGTTTGCAAATGTGAAAATTGGCAGTGGCTAATGCAGGCAGGCTTTCCTGAAGGACAGCTGGTCGCTCGAGGACCAGGAGCTTGTGTGGTGGGAGCTATGGCTCCAAGTTTGCAGCTGGAAGGCCAGGTGGTATGGCCTGTGTCCCCTGGACACATGTCCCAGGCTGGCACTGCATTCTGTAGGCCCTTGCCTGGACCCCTGTCCTGGGCAAGATTCTGATGCCGGGTCCCCCCCCTCAGAGCCCATTCTGCATAGACCGGCAGGTAAGTCGCGAGCCTTCTGAAAGGAGGAAGGTGACTCCCAGCCACGGCAGGCACCACAGTTCCTGGAAGACAGCCAAGCAGCCAGGACCAAGCACACACATCCCTGCCACCCCTGCACCCAGGCTCCAGGCCTCTTCAAACACAACAGCGTCAGAGAGAAGGGCTGGCGCCAAGCCGGCACCGTGGAGTCCAGAGTTGGGGTGGCTTGTTGTCCCAGCAGCTCCCAAAGTTGACGACATCTTTCTGGAAAAAAAGATGTCACGGAGAACATGTATCTTTAGGGAAGACAAGAGAGTCCAGATTTTTTAAAATGAGAAGCAGGGGGGGATACTCCTAGGGGGAACCCACATCTGGGAACTGAAAGTTTAAACACTTCTTGGTCCATTTGGACAAAAACTACCAAACTTATAAACAGCTTGTTCTCACGTAGAGACTCGGGGTCATGCCTCCCATCTGCCTTGGACAGAGACTATGACAAAATTAAACACTAGGGAGCGGCCAGTCTGAGATGCCAGGTAACGGCCCGAGATGCAGGGCGAGTAGGAACGGAGGCTGAGCTCGAGTTGAGTTCCTTGCAGTGAGCGCTTCCTGCCTCTACTCAACCCTGACCTCGCTCGCCCATTTCCAAAGAGGGTCTAATTTCCAGAGTCTAGTCTTCACCCCAAAAAAGTCCCTGGGAGTATTTACCCCTGCAGAGACTAGGTTTTGGGGGGACACCTTTGTCCTGGGTCTCCTTCTGAAGCCCACCCTGTGTTTCCTCCAAGGACAGCCCCACCTTCCTGCTCTTAACAGTCCCCAAACCGCTTGTGGGTGGCACTGCCAGTGGGTGCCCCCCTGGGGGACAGCTACTCTGTGGGGACATGCCAGGCCCCCAAGTGCCCAATTACTCTGGAACTTTGGGTAAAAATTCAGGCATTTCCCAGTGAGGGCTTGGTGCCTTGCAAGGGGGCCCTGTGAGCTTCCAGAGGCAGCAATTTCCTTATCTTTGTCCTTTAGCTGTTGGGGGTCCTCTGGCTGTTGCTTCTCTGCCTCAGTTTCCTTCTCTATATAATGGGGTGACCACGGGCTATTTCATAAGGCTGCTGTGAGGAAGAAAGGAAAGGAAATGCAGAGAACCCAGAAGCACTTAGCCGGCACTTAACTCTTTTTCAAATGAACGTGAGCAGACACAGACGCATGTCTCCGAAGCTGGGTACATTTTCTGAACCAGAAGGCAGTGAGTGTTCACATTTTCCATCCAGGCAGCAAGAGAAAATAACATAGAGGAGCAAGAAGGGGACCAGGCCAGATCCAACGTCCCCCGAGGGGGTCTCCCCAGGGGTCTGCCTTCTAGCCACGCGTGTTTCCAGAAGGCTCTCAAGTGTGTTTGTGTGGTGGCGCCGGGAGTGAGCGCAGGAGAGAGCGCAAGGAGCAGGCCTTTATTAGGGCAGAATGGCAGCTGGCCAGGCCTGCTCCACCACAGGAAGGGATCCCAACCCTGAGGGCCGAAGCAGAGGCCCCGGGGAAGCCAGCCCCCCTCTTTCCCTGTGCAGAGTTCTCTGCGGAGCAGAAGGACAAGGCCTCCTCTGCAGTGAGGGGGGCTCGAAGAAAGGACTTGGGGGGGGGGCCTAAGCCGGAGGCCTGGGCCGCCCCTCCTCTTCTCCTCCCTTATTTTCCTCACTTCCTGGGGCAGATGAAAGGAGATGGCTGCTGGGCAGCCCTGCGGGAGGGGCCGCCATGTCCCTGTGAGACCAGACTGACGTTAATGGTGCTGTCTGGGGGGGTGTTCATGGGGCGGAAGGAGGGGGGGATTTTTTTTGCTTTCAGTTTAAAAAATGTGTTCAACAGGGCCTCCCTGGTGGCTCAAGAGGTTTAGATGCAACCTGTGAAGCTATCCGCAGCCGCTGCAGCATGAGTTTGATCCCCGGTCAGGGAGCTACCCACATGGCGCAGCAGACCTCTCCTGTCCTGCCCGCTGCTCCCCTCAGCAGTGTGTTTCAGTCAATCTGCCTGTTCTGCCCCCCACTCTGTCTCTGGTGAATCTTCTCATCCCCTGCTCCTCTGGCCTGTACCCCAGTTCTTGTATGCATAAATCAACCTTTAAAAAAAAATGTGTTCAACAGTCCACACTTGCTCGCATGGTAATTAAGTATGTCGAAACACTTTCATTTGAAAAGGCTGTTCCTTGTCAATCCTGGGGCTTGTTTCTCAGGTCAAGGCCTCTCCTTAGCCATCCTCCAGGTCAGGCTGAGCCTGGATGAAAGCCTGGTGAGGGGGAACCCACACATAGAGGCGCTCACCACCACCTCCAGCCAGTCTACTTCCCGGACCACCTGAGGTCCCCTCGAATTGCTGCCATTTTGTCACCCCAACTATCAGACTCTTCACCATGACCCGAGTTCCTCAGGCAAGTGTGAGGAATGAGGGGTCACAGCCCACTCTCCTCTCCACTTACCCGCTCCCCCGCTGTCCAACAACCCCCCTAACCCCGAGCTGGTGAGGCTGGGTGGAAGGGCAACCTTGCCCAGGCCGGCCCCTCCCAGTCACTAGGGCACACAGGGGCTCCTGTACCAAGGCCCTCATCATGCTCCTCATGTGGGGGGCCCGGCCCCCACCCTGAACATTTACAGGCTATTTCAGTTCCTCCCACCTCTCAGAGGGGCATGGCTCACACCCACTGCCCCTGCAAAGCCTGTCTCTCATCTGACCCCCTGCCTTGCTGGATGACCTAAAAGGACAGGGCAGTCCTGCTGAAGGCTCGCTGCCCCAGCTGCCCGTGTGACCTGGGGCTCCTCCGGGGCATAACCTCTCTCATGCACCCCACCAAGAGGTGGTGACCATCCCAGGGTGGTTGCTGTGAGGATTAAAAGGGATCATTCTAATAGACTACTGGGAACACATTCCAGAAAAAGTCTGCAAGAATGACCCCAAGCCATTCTGGCCCTCAACCACTTGAGAGTAGTTAGCTGGCCTGCAGCCCAGGCTCCTGGACACTTCAGTAGGTATTTCCTGCCAGTGGGGACCCTCTCTCACATCGCATGGACAGAGCCACAGCACATGGCACAACCACCCACTGTGGAACTGCCATGGAGGTGTGGCTGCCAGCACAACCTCAGACCCTGGCGCCTTCTGCCTGGTGCTGGATCCAGAACAGACCCGGGCACATATCACAGCACTGACATGTTTTAAGATACAGGCTTCTCTGTCAGGTCTGTCTGCTGTTGCTGGTGGTCGTTCTGGGTTACAGAATGTCACACCCAGGCGATGTGCCCTTGCGTGGCTTTGGTCTGTCCCAACACTGAAGACAGGAACTTCATTCCTCTGGCTCAGGTGGTCCCTGCCAGGCGTCCTCTGGAGAGTGATTACTGTCCCTCTGGGGAGTCACAGGTGCGTGAGACTATGTAAATATCCCGATTCCCATCAACTGGTCCTCAGGAATGTTGGCATCATATAGGACCCGGGGTGGAGTGATTATTACCAGGAGAGTTGCCAGAGGGTGATTCTGTCGTTCCTTCATTTATTAGCTGGCGGGGTGCT